TGGGTCTTGTTTTTGCCTTGCTGGGCTCGGTTTGGCTCTAGTTGGGGGCTTGGTTTGCTTTGTTTGGTCTTTACCTGAGAGAGGATTTGGAGGTGGTTTTGTTGGCTTTGGTTCCTACTCCTACCCGTGAGACCCATTGGAATTTCTTGAATTTAATTTATCCCCTCTTGTTGAGTTTACATCATTTGGATGATTGTAGTGGATCAAACTCGTTACTTTTAGAGATTGGTGATGTTTTGTACTCTCTTATGTATATCAAAACTTGTAGGGAATTGATCCGGGTTTGCCTTAGCCGTGAGCCTCACTTGTTGTTTCTTTGGTCCTCCTTACTAGGCTTGATTGACTTGAGTGTTGTGGATGAATCAAGTTTGCCATCCCAAAAATTATAATCACTTTGGTTATCCTCTTAGGTTTGTCAGGGAGGCATAGTAGTCATTGGTGGTTCTTTTGGTCACTTTGGGCCGTGAGCCTTAGTGATTACCTCCCTTGTAGGTTGCTTTGGCCGAGAGCCCTAACTGCTGTTTTCTCTATTCTATTGACCCCGGCCATGAGTAGTTATTCGGTTCTGTGGGAAGGTTTCGTGCTTATTTAATGTATGAGGCTATTTATTAATTTGAAGGTTGAGGAAATTTTGATTTTGGTATGAGTTGGGAAATATCGGTGGTGGTTTCCCCGAGGTCACTTTCTTTTGAAGTTTGGGAGATGTTAAACCTCATTTTGGAAAAGCATTTGATGGACTTGATCAATCCTATGTCTTTGGGGTTTGGGAAAATTAGCGCGAGCCTGCCTTTTATGTTTGTTGGGAAAGACCTTGGGCCCTACTTTTCCAGGTCTTTTCGATACGAGTTTTGAGAACTGATCCAATCTCCTTTTCGGTGTTTAGATGGATCGATGCCTCCTCTCTTTCACCCCATTTTTATTCTTTTTTTTCCTTGCTTCTTGGTTCGGTTTTTGATGTTTATGCCCGATGCATAAGTGTCCACGTATAGCCTTTTGCTATACGTGAAACTATCAAGCAAGGTCGCAAGTAGTCTTTTTGGGGCGTACGGTGTTGATG